TGAAACATTTTCAAGAAATAGTCGTCTACTTAAGATAGATTAGATGGGAGCGACGTTACGTGGCATACAGTACATGAGAACGTTTTCATCTTTAAAAGCTGTAAAGTGCATTTTTATTAAGCTTTATTTGTCATTTCGACAAAAAATGACTTAAAACCAATTTCATGTTTCTGGATTTAAGCATTCAAAAATAAAAATGCATAAAAAAAACACTTTAGTCTGGAGAAGATGACCTTTGAGATAAACAGTAGCCGATCACAATCTGAGGCAGACCTGTAATGATTTGACAGCCTGAGTTCCTCCTGTGAGTTTTACAACCTGTTCAAAGCAGCAGCAGCAGGTCTGAACGAAGGAAGCAGCTGCCGAGGGTTCACAAGAAGAGTGACGTGATCCTCCCTGCTGGTGGAGCAATAAAACCCATTAAAGAAAACATATTCACTATTATCTCACACAACAAGAAATGTTTTTATTGTTCTAAGAATATATTAAACGAAGGAGGTGAATGGGATTTTCAATMATTAAGACTACGATTGACTTTTCCTTCCTGTCTTTTTACAACTGCAAGGTTTTACAATATATCCAGCGTTCTACGTCTTTTTCATGTTTTACGTAAAGACTCTGTCCAGTCTTTAGGCTCTGATGGTTTCAGCAGGTTATCCAACTCAGGCTTCGATTTATTGAGGGCCGAAGTGTCCACAAAACAGTTCCTGCTCCATTACAACACTAACTYGTTACAGCAGAACATAAATTAGGATTTTCAGCTGTCAAATGTGTGAGTTTGTGCCTGCCACCTTGTTAAATGTCTGTTTTTGGCATTTTCTGTAGCTGCAGTCGCACTTCTGCCTCAAAGCTGGAAGTCCTGAGAGTAGCTTTATTTTACAGCTCATTTAAACTTAAATAACCTTTGTGGAGCCTCCCAGCTAGCAGACTAGTATGAATTTTGATTTTTTTAAAAGTAGATCGGTTTTTTACAGTATAGTTTCTATTTTTTCTCAAATTCCTCACTGATCCTTCTGATGCTTTTTGATGAAATTGAAAATAAGAGGAAATTTTGAGTTCAAACTTTAACCAAATCACATTAAAAATCAATTAGATGTCCTTATTTAACTGAGAATCCACCTCAAATCTTTCAAACTAACAAAAGCTATCCTGGTTCAGACAATGGTTTAAATGTTGAACGTTAAATCTGATTGTCCTGATGCATCTCAGTAATCCAGGTAAAAAAAAAATCAAAAAGAAAAAAATTGTATAGGTCTTCTGGACGGGTTCTTCTCTAATGAAACGTTTCGTCTCTCCTCCAAGAGACTTCTTCAGTCTGAGAGTTTCAGGCAAAATTCAGGCTTTTAAGCCCTGCCTCCATGTGACTGATACTCACATCACATGGCTATCGTTGACACCTATTAACACTTATTGTTAACAAGGGGTTGAGTGATACTGGCAATAGCCGCTCTGTAGGAGGGGGACAACTGAAAACAGAGGCCTCCACCTCTGTTTAATGATGGACGGTCTTTCTTCACAAAAATGGCTTCTTTTACTCCTCTCTCAAACCAACGTTCCTCTCTATCAAGAATGAGAACATCCTCATCTCTGAAAGAGTGACCGCTGGCCTGTAAATGAGTGAAAACTGCAGAGTTCTGGCCATTAGATGTAGCTCGTCTGTGTTGGGACATTCTTTTGAACAGTGGCTGCTTTGTTTCCCCGATGTATAACTGGTCGCAGTCCTCCTGGCACTTAACAGCATATACAACATTGCTCTGTTTGTGCCGGGGCACCGGATCTTTGGGGTGAACCAGCCTTTGCCGTAATGTGTTTTGGGGTTTGAAAGCCACTGGGACGTCATGTTTAGAAAATAAACGTCTCAGTTTCTCCGAAACACCCGCAACATACGGAATAACCACTGGTTTGGGTCTGGGTTTGGGGTCTTCATTTTCACCTGAAGGTTGCATGGARTCCTGTCTGTGTTTCCTGTCTGCTTTCAAGAAAGCCCAGTCAGGATAACCACACTGCTCCAGGGCCTGTCGTGTGTGTGATTTCTCTTTCTCCCTGGCTCCTGGGTTTGTAGGGACACTGTCTGCTCTGTGGTACAGAGTCCTGATCACTCCTAACTTGTGTTCCAGTGGGTGATGGGAGTCAAAACGCAAATAATGGTCTGTGTGGGTGGGCTTACGATATACGCCAGTTTCCAACCACACACACCAGTTTTCAACGATAGCCATGTGATGTGAGTATCAGTCACATGGAGGCAGGGCTTAAAAGCCTGAATTTTGCCTGAAACTCTCAGACTGAAGAAGTCTCTTGGAGGAGAGACGAAACGTTTCATTAGAGAAGAACCCATCCAGAAGACCTATACWATTTTTTTCTTTTTGATTAAATCTGAATCTTGTTCAGTTCACCTGGTCACTTATTTTTTAGTTTTTAAATGTATCAGATTACGTTGAACCCTCTCAGTTTCGAACATTAATTTGATTTGTCCAGGAACAGATTGCTCAGCATCTGCTGCTGATCTACATCAATCTGAAGTTTGACCAGTAAGAGAAACTGCAGCGACAATTAGCCAGTAAATCCCTGAGACTGACAGCTGTTCCAGCTGTTGTCTGGCTGAACAGCAGCAGGACGACGCAAACGTCCAGAAACTGCGTTAAAACTCCTCAAACTTTCTGCGTCTTGATTTTCTCTTTCTTCAGCTGGAAGTTGTTTTTTTTACTCCGGTTCACTCAGCTGTCAGCAGCCAWAATAAACTTTCCTCTGACCGCTTCCTTAAGCACAAACTGGACTTAATGATTAGATTGAAAAAAGGCATCCCTACAGCAGGTGGGTCTGGTAATCATTTAGCATTTTTATATTGAAGTGAATAATTAATTTGCTCATGTAGTCATGCTATCTTGCAAAAAGTCCAAGGAAGTTCAACAGAAAAAAAAACATGAAAAAGTAATGAACCATTTGTGAAATAAGGTGGACACAGGTGAGCTGATGGTGAAATCAGAACATGGACATCTAATGACTCCGCTGAACATTAAACCCTAACCAGAGTAATAAACAAGACAAAACATAAAATGATAAAAGTCACAAAACATGACAACAACTCAGACGAGGATCCAGTTCTGCACAAACAAACCCAGCYGAGGTAAAACATGGCGGTTCAGTCTGCGGGGCCGTGCAAACGAGCCGWCGTTTTTCTGAGCTTTTGACAAGCAGCTGCTGTGAAATCATCACAGCCCAACAGGAAATAAACACCTCCACAGATCAGCTTATAAACACYGCTTATCATCACAAATAAATCATAAACCTTTAGTCTTAGTTCTGTTTTTCATCTCATGTTTTACATGGATCAACATTTAAATTACTTCTCCTCCATCTGTAATGTGTTTTATTAAACTCTGTTATTAGAAACTTTAAGGTCCTGAAGTGAAACATAAAAAAAAAATTATTTAACATGAATTTTTATATTTAATTTAATTACACATATTTATCACTTCTGCAGTAATCTGCTTTAATTAATAACAACATACAAATTCATTTTAGTAATTTCTGCAAATAATATTGCAAGATAGTTTTTTTAAAGTTACTTATTTGCATTAAAACCTTTATTTAAAATATGTATTGATTAGGCAATATGTTTCTTTTTTGGGGGGGTAATCTCAATAATCTGACTGATAAATTGCTCTCACTTGGCTGAGGAAGTGTTTATTAATTTGCTCATTTAAGTAAACAAATTATGCCATTTCTAATAAATTAATAATAAGTAAATTGTTGTTTTTTGTGGAATGAACTAACAAACACGTGATAAATAAAGCAGAATGATATACATATGTAACTTTGTGTGGCCCATGCTATCAGTGAAATAATCTTAGTAATATTAAGATTATTATAATCTTAGTAATATTAAGATTATTTCAGGAAAATTTATAAATAAATTGTAAAAAAGCCAGTCAGGACCTATGTTTTAATCGCAGAAAGGTAAGAAATGATCTTACCTGTTGAGAGAAGTAAGGTGCAGAAATGTTGCTGTCCAGTTCTGTGAAGCTCTGACTGACCGACCGGCAGCAGCAGGATGAAGAGGAGGAGGAGGAGGGCGATGGACAGAAAGAAAAAAGGGATGAAATCAAAGRACAGAAAGAGAAAGAGAAGAAGAARAAAAAACAGGAGGAGGAAAGAAGGAGAGCACTTGGATTTTCTCATCCTTGAAGAATTCATCCTCCCCTTCTCTCCTCCTCGTTCCTTTCTGATGTCATTCCTCTCAGGTCCCTGCTGGGCGGCAGATCTGCGATGGAAAACATCTGACTTTTTTTTTTTCACTGGTTTTTGATGGAATGCAGGGGTCTGGACATTCTGAAGGGGGTCTCTGTCCTCGGGCACTGCGGGGGTCATTGGAGATACAAACAGTGGTCTCTGCTGATTTTGGTGATGCTTCTCACAGGATCAACTCCAGGATCTGACATCACTAACAGACACTTGGCTGCTTTCACTGCTGTTTAGATCAGAGACGATGTTAACCAAAACAAGACGTGATGCAGCAACACTTTTATTTATTTGTTTTATTATAACTTAGAATTTGAACAACCCAGGTGAAAGAWTATTATACTAAGTATATTAAATCTAAGTATACTTTAGTAAACTTGAAGCCGCACTAATCATCAGTGCTATTTTGGAAACCATCCATCCATCCATCCATCCATCCATCCATCCATCCATCCATCCATCCATCCATCC